TGGTCTTTATTGTCATCACAACACAGAGATGAAACAGTGGTTTTGGAAAGGAATGTGTTGGGAGTGGGAGGAGGGGAGGAAAAAACAATTTTCCACCGACTCAATCAAAATACATCCCACCATCACCACAACCCTACTGCCCGAATCTTCCACTTTAATAGAGATTTATTAGGTTTCTGATGAATCCATTATACTTTTATGTGTGTGTGTTTTTACTGCCTCACACTTGACAAGGTTTAAATTTGCCTTCATCTTGAATAATTCTAAAATATTCACTGTGAAATGATAACCCTTTTTCATACCTCTTCAGTTTGGTGGGTTGAGGTAATACTCAAAAACAAAGCTGTATTGTCTGTTAAATATTTCAACAATATTTAGGAGGTCACATCCTGCAGATCTTGTGAACAGGTTCTCAAGCGTTATATGTAATGGAGAATCTGGAGTGAACAGGTTCTCTAGCGGTATATATAATGGAGAATCTGGAGTGAACAGATTCTCTAGCTGTTTATATAACAGGTAATCTGGAGTGAACAGGTTCTCTAGCTGTATATGTGACAGAGAATCTGGAGTGAACAGGTTCTCTAGCTGTATATATAACAGATAATATATATATATAAGGAGAATCTGGAGTGAACAGGTTCTCTAGCTGTTTATATAATCTTCTAGCTATATATAATGTATATGTGTTTACAGAGAATCTGGAACAGGTACTCTAGCTGTTTATATAACATTTAATCTGGAGTGAACAGGTTCTCTAGCTGTATATATAATAGAGAATCTGGAGTAAACAGGTTCTCTAGCTGTTTATATAACCGATAATCTGGAGTGAACAGGTTCTCTAGCTGTTTATATAACAGATAATCTGGAGTGAACAGGTTCTCTAGCTGTTTATATAACAGATAATCTGGAGTGAACAGGTTCTCTATAACAGATAATCTGGAGCTGTTCTCTATATATAACCGACAGATATAACAGATAATCTGGAGTGAACAGGTTCTCTAGCTGTTTATATAACAGATAATCTGGAGTGAACAGGTTCTCTAGCTGTATATATAGTGAACAGGTACTCTAATATATAACAGGTAATCTGGAGTGAACAGGTTCTCTAGCTGTATATGTGACAGAGAATCTGGAGTGAACAGGTTCTCTAGCTGTATATATAACAGATAATCTGGAGTGAACAGGTTCTCTAGCTGTATATGTGACAGAGAATCTGGAGTGAACAGGTTCTCTAGCTGTTTATATAACAGATAATCTGGAGTGAACAGATTCTCTAGCTGTATATATAACAGATAATCTGGAGTGAACAGATTCTCTAGCTGTATATATAATAGAGAATCTGGTGTGAACAGGTTCTCTAGCGGTATATATAATGGAGAATCTGGAGTGAACAGGTTCTCTAGCTGTTTATATCACCGATAATCTGGAGTGAACAGGTTCTCTAGCTGTATATGTGACAGAGAATCTGGAGTGAACAGGTACTCTAGCTGTTTATATAACCAATAATCTGGAGTGAACAGGTTCTCTAGCTGTATATATAATAGAGAATCTGGAGTAAACAGGTTCTCTAGCTGTTTATATAACCGATAATCTGGAGTGAACAGGATCTCTAGCTGTTTATATAACAGATAATCTGGAGTGAACAGGTACTCTAGCTGTATATATAACAGATAATCTGGAGTGAACAGGTTCTCTAGCTGTTTATATAACAGATAATCTGGAGTGAACAGGTTCTCTAGCTGTATATATAATAGAGAATCTGGAGTAAACAGGTTCTCTAGCTGTTTATATAACCGATAATCTGGAGTGAACAGGTTCTCTGGAGTGAACAGGTTCTCTAGCTGTATATGTGACAGAGAATCTGGAGTGAACAGGTTCTCTAGCGGTATATATAATAGAGAATCTGGTGTGAACAGGTTCTCTAGCGGTATATATAATGGAGAATCTGGAGTGAACAGGTTATCTAGCTGTTTATATAAGTGAACAGATAATCTGGAGTGAACAGGTACTCTAGCTGTTTATATAACAGATAATCTGGAGTGAACAGGTTCTCTAGCTGTATATATAACAGATAATCTGGAGTGAACAGGTTCTCTAGCTGTATATATAACAGATAATCTGGAGTGAACAGGTTCTCTAGCTGTTTATATAACAGATAATCTGGAGTGAACAGGTTCTCTAGCTGTATATATAATAGAGAATCTGGAGTGAACAGGTACTCTAGCTGTTTATATAACCGATAATCTGGAGTGAACAGGTTCTCTAGCTGTATATATAACAGATAATCTCCAGTGATCATAGGCTCTCTGTATATATATATAACAGAGTTAGAATCTATTGAAGAGGTTTTAATTGTCAGACACAATTTAGTACACAAACACTCAATCTGAAATGTAAATGGCAAGTATTGATTTCAGGAAAGTAGAGAAATAAAAGTAAATGTCAGATTGGATTCCTTGTTGTTGAGAACCATTCATGGAAGTGAAGTAGGTGGCATAGGATTCTTTGTACCTGTTGTATAGACCTGCGTTGTACAGAATTAGGTCACATTGGATTTCTTGTAACTGGTGGAGAAATTTCCATGGTACAGGAATAGGTCAAATTTGATTCCTGATATCTGTTGTCAAGAGACTTCCTTGGTAGAGAAATAGGTCACATTGATTCCTAGTACCTGTTATAGAGACTTTTGTGGTAGAGAAATAGGTCACATTGATTCCTAGTACCTGTTATAGAGAGACTTTTGTGATAGAGAAATAGGTCACATTGATTCCTAGTACCTGTTATGGAGACTTTTGTGGTAGAAAAATAGGTCACATTGATTCCTAGTACCTGTTATAGAGACTTTTGTGATAGAGAAATAGGTCACATTGATTCCTAGTACCTGTTATAGAGAGACTTTTGTGGTAGAGAAATAGGTCACATTGATTCCTAGTACCTGTTATAGAGACTTTTGTGGTAGAGAAATAGGTCACATTGTATCATTATATCAAGATATATATGATATGTGTAAACATAGTTTACCCTGGGTGTATCATTACTACAGGATATATACGGTATGTGTAAACATAGTTTACCCTGGGTGTATCATTACTACAGGATATATAGGTATGTGTAAACATAGTTTACACTGGGTGTATCAATACTACAGGATATATACGGTATGTGTAAACATAGTTTACCCTGGGTGTATCATTACTACAGGATATATAGGTATGTGTAAACATAGTTTACCCTGGGTGTATCAGTACTACAGGATATATAGGTATGTGTAAACATAGCTTACCCTGGGTGTATCATTAGTACAGGATATATAGGTATGTGTAAACATAGTTTACCCTGGGTGTATCATTACTACAGGATATATAGGTATGTGTAAACATAGCTTACCCTGGGTGTATCATTAGTACAGGATATATAGGTATGTGTAAACATAGTTTACCCTGGGTGTATCAATACTACAGGATATTTACCGTATGTGTAACCCTGAGTGTCACTACTGTATATTTTCCATTGCTTTAATTTCAAAACCATTTTGGAAAGTAGGAGTATAATAGATTGAACAACAATTCATTGGCTATAGTTTGAATTTAAATTCAAGGCCAGACAGTCAGAGTGAAGGTATTGAACATCTGAAACACAAGGTCCCTGTGGTATCATTAATGAGAAACATTCAATATATCCAAGGTTGTTTAAATTGGATCCTTAAATCATGACAATTTTTTAGTTAAGTGTATTGCATACTTTTACAAAGAGATTGTATAATTCTGAGACTGTGAAAATAAACTAAAGATTTGGGAGAAATGACTGTACACAATTATCGGTAGCTAAATCACACTGTGGTGTTTACCTGCTTGCCTCTCCAGAATGGAGCTGCAGCCCTTCAACTGTATTTATGGTGATGGTTTTATAAGTTACCACGCATTTCCAAAAGTAATTATGGACAGCCTCATCATCTACATTCACCTTGAACATTCACAAAACTCAAGATATCAATAAATCTTTCTTGTTTTACCTTGACCTTCAAGATTCCTGTTAACATACTTGTAAGGATATATAAATCTTTCTTGTTTTTACCTTGACCTTCAAGATTCCAGAAAACATTCTTGTAAGCATATTTATATTTTTTGTTTGTTTTCACCTTGACCTTCAAGATTCCTGTTAACATACTTGTACAATTTTTTGTTTGTTTTCACCTTGACCTTCAAGATTCCTGTTAACATACTTGTAAGGATATATAAATCTTTCTTGTTTTTACCTTGACCTTCAAGATTCCAGAAAACATTCTTGTAAGCATATTTATATACAATTTTTTGTTTGTTTTCACCTTGACCTTCAAGATTCCTGTTAACATACTTGTAAGGATATATAAATCTTTCTTGTTTTTACCTTGACCTTCAAGATTCCAGAAAACATTCTTGTAAGCATATTTATATACAATTTTTTGTTTGTTTTCACCTTGACCTTCAAGATTCCTGTTAACATACTTGTAAGGATATATAAATCTTTCTTGTTTTTACCTTGACCTTCAAGATTCCTGTTAACATACTTGTAAGGATATATAAATCTTTCTTGTTTTACCTTGACCTTCAAGATTCCTGTTAACATACTTGTAAGGATATATAAATCTTTCTTGTTTTACCTTGACCTTCAAGATTCCTGTTAACATACTTGTAAGGATATATAAATCTTTCTTGTTTTACCTTGACCTTCAAGATTCCTGTTAACATACTTGTAAGGATATATAAATCTTTCTTGTTTTACCTTGACCTTTAAATTTCCTGATAACATGCAGGATTCCACCTGTTACAGGTGGATCGGGATTTGATTTGCTAAGGATGTGCCAAGATTTGACCTACCATGTGGGTCAAGATTTCACCAGGCACAGTCGTAGCGAAAACTTCATGCATCAATCAGATTTTTAAAAATAATTTGTTACAGGTCAAAAGTATTCTCCTGGCTGAGCAACATTTTAAGCATAGATTTGTTTTTGTGTTTTTCAGGATGTTCTTAGAAAAGACAAGTTGTCCAGATTTAGTTCATCCTGTCCATCACTTGAAGTAGAGGGACTTCTACCGTCTGGTATAGATGAAGGTTAGTAATTTTATAGATTTTTATTAAGTGATCAAACTTTGAATTCAATAGTGTAGATGTGATTTGCGATTCTATGTATTCAGGCATTCCCATGAAGTACCAGTATCAGTATAGCTGTTGTAAACAAACACAAGATTTTATGGATATGGGGTATTTCAGTGAACTAAATTTAAATATATTTTGCAACAATTAAGTTATGAATTGTCAGACATAAATGATTTACTTATGATTTTGCTGAACATAAGTTGACACCTTTATAGGCTACCATCATCAAATTGTTCTGTGTCAGTAGTCTGTCATTCATCAATAAACAGGTCTTGTTATGGTTATTTCTTGAGAAAATCCTTGTTTTACTATTTTGATCTTGGGACTGATCAGAAAAAAACAAAATTATTAATTAGCAGCTATCTTGAATTTCAACTGAAATTTTGTTATCACTTTCTTGAGAGGTACTCAATAAATCTATGACAAATCTCTTTTGTGTATAGGTGCCCTTTAGTACTTAGTTGTGCCATTCTGATTTTGGCACTGATCAGAGAAAGAAAATGACTGACTGGTGACAATATTGGATTTGGAAACAATCTTATTGAAGCACAAGTACCTTTATCTGATAATACACTGTTAAGCATTGTCACTCTCAATACACAGTGTTTGGCACTGTTATAAATACAGAGTTAAGCATTGTTTCTGCTCTCAGGAAGCACAGAGTTAGGCACTTTTACTTCTATCAGGAAACACAGAGTTAGGCACTTTTACTTCTATCAGGAAACACAGAGTTAGTCACTCTTACTTCTATCAGGAAACACAGAGTTAGGCACTTTTACTTCTATCAGGAAACACAGAGTTAGGCACTCTTACTTCTATCAGGAAACACAGAGTTAGGCACTTTTACTTCTATCAGGAAACACAGAGTTAGGCACTCTTACTTCTATCAGGAAACACAGAGTTAGGCACTTTTACTTCTATCAGGAAACACAGAGTTAGGCACTTTTACTTCTATCAGGAAACACAGAGTTAGGCACTTTTACTTCTATCAGGAAACACAGAGTTAGGCACTTTTACTTCTATCAGGAAGCACAGAGTTAGGCACTTTTACTTCTATCAGGAAACACAGAGTTAGGCACTCTTACTTCTATCAGGAAACACAGAGTTAGGCACTTTTACTTCTATCAGGAAACACAGAGTTAGGCACTTTTACTTCTATCAGGAAACACAGAGTTAGGCACTCTTACTTCTATCAGGAAACACAGAGTTAGGCACTCTTACTTCTATCAGGAAACACAGAGTTAGGCACTCTTACTTCTATCAGGAAACACAGAGTTAGGCACTTTTACTTCTATCAGGAAACACAGAGTTAGGCACTTTTACTTCTATCAGGAAACACAGAGTTAGGCACTTTTACTTCTATCAGGAAACACAGAGTTAGGCACTTTTACTTCTATCAGGAAACACAGAGTTAGGCACTGTAACTTCTATAAGGAAACACAGAGTTAGTCACTCTTACTTCTATCAGGAAACACAGAGTTAGGCACTTTTACTTCTATCAGGAAACACAGAGTTAGGCACTTTTACTTCTATCAGGAAACACAGAGTTAGGCACTTTTACTTCTATCAGGAAACACAGAGTTAGGCACTGTAACTTCTATAAGGAAACACAGAGTTAGGCACTTTTACTTCTATCAGGAAACACAGAGTTAGGCACTTTTACTTCTATCAGGAAACACAGAGTTAGGCACTCTTACTTCTATCAGGAAACACAGAGTTAGGCACTTTTACTTCTATCAGGAAGCACAGAGTTAGGCACTCTTACTTCTATCAGGAAACACAGAGTTAGGCACTCTTACTTCTATCAGGAAACACAGAGTTAGGCACACTTACTTCTATCAGGAAACACAGAGTTAGGCACTTTTACTTCTATCAGGAAACACAGAGTTAGGCACTTTTACTTCTATCAGGAAACACAGAGTTAGGCACTTTTACTTCTATCAGGAAACACAGAGTTAGGCATTTTTACTTCTATCAGGAAGCACAGAGTTAGGCACTTTTACTTCTATCAGGACACTCAGAGTTAGTCATTTTTACTTCTATCAGGAAACACAGAGTTAGGCACTTTTACTTCTATCAGGAAACACAGAGTTAGGCACTTTTACTTCTATCAGGAAACACAGAGTTAGGCACTCTTACTTCTATCAGGAAACACAGAGTTAGGCACTTTTACTTCTATCAGGAAACACAGAGTTAGGCACTTTTACTTCTATCAGGAAGCACAGAGTTAGGCACTTTTACTTCTATCAGGAAACACAGAGTTAGGCACTTTTACTTCTATCAGGAAACACAGAGTTAGGCACTTTTACTTCTATCAGGAAGCACACAGTTAGGCACTTTTATTTCTATCAGGAAACACAGAGTTAGGCACTTTTATTTCTACTTCTATCAGGAAACACAGAGTTAGGCACTTTTACTTCTATCAGGAAGCACAGAGTTAGGCACTTTTACTTCTATCAGGAAGCACAGAGTTAGGCACTTTTACTTCTATCAGGAAGCACAGAGTTAGGCACTTTTACTTCTATCAGGAAGCACAGAGTTAGGCACTTTTACTTCTATCAGGAAACACAGAGTTAGGCACTTTTACTTCTATCAGGAAACACAGAGTTAGGCACTTTTACTTCTATCAGGAAACACAGAGTTAGGCACTTTTACTTCTATCAGGAAACACAGAGTTAGGCACTTTTACTTCTATCAGGAAGCACAGAGTTAGGCACTCTTACTTCTATCAGGAAGCACAGAGTTAGGCACTTTTACTTCTATCAGGAAACACAGAGTTAGTCACTCTTACTTCACTTTTACTCTAGGAAGCACAGAGTTAGGCACTTTTACTTCTATCAGGAAGCACAGAGTAAGGCATTTTTACTTCTATCAGGAAACACAGAGTTAAGAATTGACTTGTATTGGGTTATTATCATGGTTAAGTTAAATTTCTGCTTTTCGGTTTTTATGTTAACTCAAATCTGAAGCTAAAAGAAGTGTAAATGAGAGCAGATAGTAATGTAGTCCCAATTATTACTAGCTAGAAAGTTGCATAAACTCTCCCTGAACAGCAGTGTTGTCCCAAATGATAATTAAAGTGTTATACATCTTATAAGTCTGTTCACATTTCTTATTTCAGATCACCACAATTCTATGCTTAACTTGTCAAAAGATGAGGAGCATGCAGGCGCGTCCCCACAGTTGGCCCAGGAGTCACCCTCCGATAGTGAGGAGACCACAGATAGCCCCTACATCACAGAACCCTCCCAGGACACAAGCGTCCAGATCTGTATAAACGGCATCACTGTCGATCACTCCAGTGATTTTACACTTGATGCCAGCTTGAACCGCTTTTTGCGGGATTTTTACGGCGGCAACACTCCTGGAGTTCGAAGAAGAAGTTGGGGTGGCAACTTTTTGGAGGGCCAGAAACTCCAGGTTCGCCATGCCATACATGAAGGGTCACTCAGTGCAAAGAGGTGAGGAAGTAGGTTATTAATGGGGAAGGTCATAGGGTCACCAACCTGTAAAGGTCAAACAGTCAGAATAAACAAAGGAGTTAGAGAAATATACAGTGATGGATGTGATCCTAAATGATGATATTTAAAAGTAATATAAGCTTATTACATAAGATAAGATTTTTTATCTACAACCCACACAGGTGTTAGGTAGTGGATATATTATCTTTGGATAATATTACCTATTGAACTCCAGCCTCTCTGGGTTAACAGAAAGAAGGAGGTTACCAGGCAGGTAATTGTGGTTTATCGCTATGCCAACATCACCCTTATAGCCTTATATTTTTATGGTAATGAGTGATAGAGGAAGTGACAGATCTCGCCAACCTACTAACAGAACATTTCTAACTAGATAGACTTTAATGACAATCCATTTGATGGCCTGTTTGAACGGTTGCCAGGTATAATAAACGACCTTTCACATTCTAGCCATGGTCAGAATTCCGGCCAGGGATCACTGCATGGCTACCTCCATCTGCTCCAACGTATGTCAAAATTGGTTACTTAGTTCGTATAACTGTGTCAGTGTTGTAGTCGGAACCTTGACATTCAAAATCATAAGATGTGTATGGTACCATTTGTAAAGCCTTTAGTGTTCAAAAGTAACTATTTATCAGAAGTTGTTGGTATTTACAGGTTACATATATGTAACATTTTAGTAAAATCTTCAACTAAAGTCCAGTTCCCATCAAAGTTTTTCTCTGTGGCTATTTCTGTCTCCAGTGCTCATCATTGTGTAAACTAACTCACTTTACAGAACCAAAAGGTACCATTCTAAGTTAGGCTGGCTGTTCTTACCCAGAATGTAATAACTTGTTGAAAAAGTACATTTTAGCCATTTAAACTTTCACCACTGGAAAGAAAGACTCAAAAGTTTCATGAAGTGAAAAGGGAGCTCAAATGTCACCAGTCCTGAGATGTGACAGGGAAGCCCAGATGTCACCAGTCTGAGATGTGACAGAAGCCCAGATGTCACCAGTCTGAGATGTGACAAGGAAGCCCAGATGTCACCAGTCTGAGATGTGACAGGGAAGCCCAGATGTCACCAGTCTGAGATGTGACAGGGAAGCCCAGATGTCACCAGTCTGAGATGTGACAGGGAAGCCCAGATGTCACTAGTCTGAGATGTGACGGAAGCCCAGATGTCACCCGTCTGAGATATGACAGGGAAGCCCAGATATCACCAAAACATATTGTGTGACAGTGGAGCCCTAATGTCACCGATCAGTTGGAGATGTGACGCGGTGTCCAGAGGTCACCAAACTGTCTGAGGTGTGACAAGGGAAGCCAAAATGTCACCATAAAATGTGAGATATGACAGGGAAGCCCAGTTGTCACCAATCATTCTAAAATGAGGCAGAGGATCCCAGATGTCACAGATCATTTTGAGATAAGACCGGAGAGTCTAGATGACACAAATCAACCATTTAAAGATGTGACAGGGGAGCTCAAATGTCACTTTTCAACGTGAAATTTGACATGGAAGTCCATATGTGGCAAATTAGTTTGAAATGTGACAAGAGAGCTCTGATGTAACCTTCCAGTGTGAGACAGGGAGCTCAGATGTCATCGCTCATTGTGGGTGGCTGTTGTAGATGCTTCCCAGTATCTGATGATAAGCTCTTGGCAGCAATGTTTAAGTGGCCCTACATTGTAGCCAGCAGTCAATTCTGTGTAATAAAACACGGTCCTCATGTTCATCACATTCAGGATGTACTTTGGCAGTACAGATGCTAACGTCTTACACTCTTGATGAGATGATATTGGGTTTTACTGGTTTGTACGATTAACCATTTTTTTTTTAAACATTTGTTTACAGTAATACATATCCCTTAATTAAGGAGATTTTATGGCTGGCCCCTGAGGTATGTAAGCTCATCTGGTCCCTCCAAATCTTCTACTCGGATAAGGGAAATTTAACCACATTTGATCAAACACATCTATTGGTGTAGCTCAGATTTTTTGCCCTTCAAAGGGCAGTAAGGGGAAATGTTTGATCAGAGGTTGTAGTTGTAACTTAGTCAAGAAAAAAGGATTTGCAAATGAATTTACCTGAATTTAATATCGACCTCTTTAAAGTAAAAGTGGGTGTTCAATATAGAAAAACTTAAGGCTACACCAAGTACAGTGACAGGTCCGATAGATATAAGACTTTCTTCAGTGTGTACATATTCTGTAAGGCTACACCAAGTACAGTGACAGGTCCAATAGATATAAGACTCTACAGTGTGTACATATTCTGTAAGGCTACACCAAGTACAGTGACAGGTCCGATAGATATAAGACTTTCTTCAGTGTGTACATATTCTGTAAGGCTACGCCAAGTACAGTGACAGGTCCAATAGATATAAGACTCTACAGTGTGTAGATATTCTGTAAGGCTACACCAAGTACAGTGACAGGTCCAATAGATATAAGACTCTACAGTGTGTACATATTCTGTAAGGCTACACTGAGTAGTGACAGGTCCAATAGATATAAGACTCTCTACAGTGTGTAGATATTCTGTAAGGCTACACCAAGTACAGTGACAGGTCCACTATATACAAGACTCTACAGTGTGTACATATTCTGTAAGGCTACACTGAGTAGTGACAGGTCCAATAGATATAAGACTCTCTACAGTGTGTAGATATTCTGTAAGGCTACACCAAGTACAGTGACAGGTCCACTATATACAAGACTCTACAGTGTGTAGATATTCTGTAAGGCTACACTGAGTAGTGACAGGTCCAATAGATATAAGACTCTACAGTGTGTAGATATTCTGTAAGGCTACACCAAGTACAGTGACAGGTCCAATAGATATAAGACTCTACAGTGTGTAGATATTCTGTAAGGCTACACTGAGTAGTGACAGGTCCAATAGATATAAGACTCTACAGTGTGTACATATTCTGTAAGGCTACACCAAGTACAGTGACAGGTCCAATAGATATAAGACTCTACAGTGTGTAGATATTCTGTAAGGCTACACTGAGTAGTGACAGGTCCAATAGATATAAGACTCTACAGTGTGTAGATATTCTGTAAGGCTACACCAAGTACAGTGACAGGTCCAATAGATATAAGACTCTACAGTGTGTAGATATTCTGTAAGGCTACACCAAGTACAGTGACAGGTCCAATAGATATAAGACTCTACAGTGTGTACATATTCTGTAAGGCTACACCAAGTACAGTGACAGGTCCAATAGATATAAGACTCTACAGTGTGTAGATATTCTGTAAGGCTACACCAAGTACAGTGACAGGTCCAATAGATATAAGACTCTACAGTGTGTAGATATTCTGTAAGGCTACACCAAGTACAGTGACAGGTCCAATAGATATAAGACTCTACAGTGTGTAGATATTCTGTAAGGCTACACCAAGTACAGTGACAGGTCCAATAGATATAAGACTCTACAGTGTGTAGATATTCTGTAAGGCTACACCAAGTACAGTGACAGGTCCAATAGATATAAGACTCTACAGTGTGTACATATTCTGTAAGGCTACACCAAGTACAGTGACAGGTCCAATAGATATAAGACTCTACAGTGTGTAGATATTCTGTAAGGCTACACTGAGTAGTGACAGGTCCAATAGATATAAGACTCTACAGTGTGTAGATATTCTGTAAGGCTACACCAAGTACAGTGACAGGTCCAATAGATATAAGACTCTACAGTGTGTAGATATTCTGTAAGGCTACACCAAGTACAGTGACAGGTCCAATAGATATAAGACTCTACAGTGTGTAGATATTCTGTAAGGCTACACCAAGTACAGTGACAGGTCCAATAGATATAAGACTTTCTTCAGTGTGTACATATTCTGTAAGGCTACGCCAAGTACAGTGACAGGTCCAATATTTACAAGACTCTACAGTGTGTAGATATTCTGTAAGGCTACACCAAGTACAGTGACAGGTCCAATAGATATAAGACTTTCTTCAGTGTGTACATATTCTGTAAGGCTACACCAAGTACAGTGACAGGTCCAATAGATATAAGACTTTCTTCAGTGTGTAGATATTCTGTAAGGCTACACCAAGCACAGTGACAGGTCCAATATATACAAGACTCTACAGTGAGTAGATATTCTGTAAGGCTACACTGTGTGACAGGTGTATAAGACAGTGTGTAGATATTCTGTAAGGCTACACCAAGTACAGTGACAGGTCCAATAGATATAAGACTCTACAGTGTGTACATATTCTGTAAGGCTACACCAAGTACAGTGACAGGTCCAATAGATATAAGACTCTACAGTGTGTAGATATTCTGTAAGGCTACACTGAGTAGTGACAGGTCCAATAGATATAAGACTCTACAGTGTGTAGATATTCTGTAAGGCTACACCAAGTACAGTGACAGGTCCAATAGATATAAGACTCTATAGTGTGTACATATTCTGTAAGGCTACACCAAGTACAGTGACAGGTCCAATAGATATAAGACTCTACAGTGTGTAGATATTCTGTAAGGCTACACCAAGTACAGTGACAGGTCCAATAGATATAAGACTCTACAGTGTGTACATATTCTGTAAGGCTACACCTACAGTGTGTACATATTCTGTAAGGCTACACTGAGTAGTGACAGGTCCAATAGATATAAGACTCTACAGTGTGTAGATATTCTGTAAGGCTACACCAAGTACAGTGACAGGTCCAATAGATATAAGACTCTACAGTGTGTAGATATTCTGTAAGGCTACACCAAGTACAGTGACAGGTCCAATAGATATAAGACTCTACAGTGTGTACATATTCTGTAAGGCTACACCAAGTACAGTGACAGGTCCAATAGATATAAGACTTTCTTCAGTTTGTACATATTCTGTAAGGCTACGCCAAGTACAGTGACAGGTCCAATATATACAAGACTCTACAGTGTGTAGATATTCTGTAAGGCTACACCAAGTACAGTGACAGGTCCAATAGATATAAGACTTTCTTCAGTGTGTACATATTCTGTAAGGCTACACCAAGTACAGTGACAGGTCCAATAGATATAAGACTTTCTTCAGTGTGTACATATTCTGTAAGGCTACGCCAAGCACAGTGACAGGTCCACTATATACAAGACTCTACAGTGTGTAGATATTCTGTAAGGCTACACCAAGTACAGTGACAGGTCCACTATATACAAGACTCTACAGTGTGTAGATATTCTGTAAGGCTACACCAAGTACAGTGACAGGTCCACTATATACAAGACTCTACAGTGTGTACCTATTCTGTAAGGCTACACTGAGTAGTGACAGGTCCAATAGATACAAGACTCTACAGTGTGTAGATATTCTGTAAGGCTACACTGAGTAGTGACAGGTCCAATAGATATAAGACTCTACAGTGTGTACATATTCTGTAAGGCTACACCAAGTACAGTGACAGGTCCAATAGATATAAGACTCTACAGTGTGTAGATATTCTGTAAGGCTACACCAAGTACAGTGACAGGTCCAATAGATATAAGACTCTACAGTGTGTACATATTCTGTAAGGCTACACCAAGTACAGTGACAGGTCCAATAGATATAAGACTCTACAGTGTGTAGATATTCTGTAAGGCTACACTGAGTAGTGACAGGTCCAATAGATATAAGACTCTACAGTGTGTAGATATTCTGTAAGGCTACACCAAGTACAGTGACAGGTCCAATAGATATAAGACTCTACAGTGTGTAGATATTCTGTAAGGCTACACCAAGTACAGTGACAGGTCCAATAGATATAAGACTCTACAGTGTGTACATATTCTGTAAGGCTACACCAAGTACAGTGACAGGTCCAATAGATATAAGACTTTCTTCAGTGTGTACATATTCTGTAAGGCTACGCCAAGTACAGTGACAGGTCCAATATATACAAGACTCTACAGTGTGTAGATATTCTGTAAGGCTACACCAAGTACAGTGACAGGTCCAATAGATATAAGACTTTCTTCAGTGTGTACATATTCTGTAAGGCTACACCAAGTACAGTGACAGGTCCAATAGATATAAGACTTTCTTCAGTGTGTACATATTCTGTAAGGCTACGCCAAGCACAGTGACAGTGTCTACAGTGTGTAGATATTCTGTAAGGCTACACCAAGTACAGTGACAGGTCCACTATATACAAGACTCTACAGTGTGTAGATATTCTGTAAGGCTACACCAAGTACAGTGACAGGTCCACTATATACAAGACTCTACAGTGTGTACCTATTCTGTAAGGCTACACCAAGTACAGTGACAGGTCCAATAGATATAAGACTCTACAGTGTGTACATATTCTGTAAGGCTACACTGAGTAGTGACAGGTCCAATAGATACAAGACTCTACAGTGTGTAGATATTCTGTAAGGCTACACTGAGTAGTGACAGGTCCAATAGATATAAGACTCTACAGTGTGTAGATATTCTGTAAGGCTACACCAAGTACAGTGACAGGTCCAATAGATACAAGACTCTACAGTGTGTAGATATTCTGTAAGGCTACACCAAGTACAGTGTCCACTATATACAAGATACAGTGTGTAGATATTCTGTAAGGCTACACCAAGTACAGTGACAGGTCCACTATATACAAGACTCTACAGTGTGTACATATTCTGTAAGGCTACACTGAGTAGTGACAGGTCCAATAGATACAAGACTCTACAGTGTGTAGATATTCTGTAAGGCTACACCAAGTACAGTGACAGGTCCACTATATACAAGACTCTACAGTGTGTAGATATTCTGTAAGGCTACACTGAGTAGTGACAGGTCCAATAGATGTTAGACTCTACAGTGTGTAGATATTCTGTAAGGCTACACTGAGTAGTGACAGGTCCAATAGATATAAGACTCTACAGTGTGTACATATTCTGTAAGGCTACACCAAGTACAGTGACAGGTCCACTATATACAAGACTCTGCAGTGTGTAGATATTCTGTAAGGCTACACCAAGTACAGTGACAGGTCCACTATATACAAGACTCTACAGTGTGTAGATATTCTGTAAGGCTACACCAAGTACAGTGACAGGTCAACTATATACAAGACTCTACAGTGTGTACATATTCTGTAAGGCTACACTGAGTAGTGACAGGTCCAATAGATACAAGACTCTACAGTGTGTAGATATTCTGTAAGGCTACACTGAGTAGTGACAGGTCCAATAGATATAAGACTCTACAGTGTGTAGATATTCTGTAAGGCTACACCAAGTACAGTGACAGGTCCAATAGATACAAGACTCTACAGTGTGTAGATATTCTGTAAGGCTACACCAAGTACAGTGACAGGTCCACTATATACAAGACTCTACAGTGTGTAGATATTCTGTAAGGCTACACCAAGTACAGTGACAGGTCCACTATATACAAGACTCTACAGTGTGTACATATTCTGTAAGGCTACACTGAGTAGTGACAGGTCCAATAGATACAAGACTCTACAGTGTGTACATATTCTGTAAGGCTACACTGAGTAGTGACAGGTCCAATAGATATAAGACTCTACAGTGTGTAGATATTCTGTAAGGCTACACTGAGTAGTGACAGGTCCAATAGATATAAGACTCTACAGTGTGTAGATATTCTGTAAGGCTACACCAAGTACAGTGACAGGTCCAATAGATATAAGACTCTACAGTGTGTAGATATTCTGTAAGGCTACACCAAGTACAGTGACAGGTCCAATAGATATAAGACTCTACAGTGTGTAGATATTCTGTAAGGCTACACTGAGTAGTGACAAGTCCAATAGATATAAGACTCTACAGTGTGTAGATATTCTGTAAGGCTACACCAAGTACAGTGACAAGTCCAATAGATATAAGACTCTACAGTGTGTAGATATTCTGTAAGGCTACACTGAGTAGTGACAGGTCCAATAGATGTTAGACTCTTTACCAAAGCTGGCCTGTACACTATACCAGGTGAGGTATAAAACATGGGTAAACTTGGTGTGAAATTTCTGATTAGTGTGGCCTTATTTACCTGTAATTATCTGTTCTGATGTTGAATTTGTGACAAGCACAATCTGATTACAACTCCTTCATTAGTGTAAGCTGATTACTCTAGTGATTTCATCTCACAATGTTATTTTCACTGTTTCTAACACATGGAATTCAAATCATATGCTTAAGAGGGCTCTCATATAGAAATTTGTCCTTAAATTGAAGAAATTTGTCCTTAAATTGAAGAAATTTGTCCTTAAATTGAAGAAATTTGTCCTTAAATTGAAGACATTTGTCCTATTATGGAAATATGTCTGGGTTATAAAGAGTTGTTCTTACAGAGCATACAGAAAGATGTCCTTATATAATATTGTCTTTCCTGATGGAAACCTTATACACGATTGGCGTTTTCCTCAATTGTACACTATTAGCGGTCATGATTCAGGTATATGACCAGAGTAAAACACTGTGTTTCACATGTCTAATCATCCCTATGTTTCCTACAGTATGAGCCTGAACAGTCTGGATGGTGATGAAGACACAGAAGATGATGATTTTGTGGATGCTAAAGAGCCACCCACCACACACGTGTCCCAGGGAGGTCAGGAGGCAGGGCTAGAGCACCCTGGAAACAGCCCCTCACACATGGACGCACTAAACATTTCGCCGGGGGAATCACCTTGTTCAAGTCCTAATAGTAGGTATCTAAGCAAACAGTATAAAGGCAGGACAACACCATACTACAGGGCAGCCCTGCTAAACTTCAATTAGAATTACAACAACACAGCCTTATACTACAGGGCAGCCATGTTAGTCTTCAGGTAGAATTACACAACACAGCCTAATACTACAGGGCAGCCCTGCTTGTCTTCAGCTAGAATTACATAGCACAGCCTTATACTGCAGGGCAGCCCTGCTAGTCTTCAGCTACAAGTACACAAGGCAATCTTACATTGCAGGACAGTACTGCTTGTTTTTTGCTAGTGTTTAGGACTATTACCTGACCAAGAAAATGTAGTGTTTGCCATTTTTTCTTCACTTCAATGACTTAGGTGCAATTATTTTGATGTGAATATGATTTCAGACCAGGACATGCCTGATGCCAGTATATATACCTCACCAGATCCAGGTGAAACTTTAGTGAGAACCTTGTACGGCCTGAAAAAGGAACTCATCTCACCCAGAGACAGAAAGGTACCAGCATAATGTTTGAAATGAAATATGACAGGATATATATTTTAAACCCACCATCGTGGGCTGTTGAAATTAACCTTTGTGCAAAGGCCATTGTCCTTAGTCTTTCTTGAGAAGTACAAGATGGATCATTTTCAAATTTCATATGTAGGTTTCCCTTTGTCCCTGGTTGTGCATTGTCCCATTTTGGAACTGAATTTAAGGGCAACATGGCCAACAGGAGGCCATCTTGGATTTTGCCAATGAATGGTTGTTATCACCATTTCTTGAGAAGTACTGGATGGATCATTCACAAATTTCGTCTATAGCTTCCCATAGATGACTTGTTTTGGCCTTTTGATTATGGAATTGATCAGGAATGCAAATGGGCAGACTGGCAGCTTGCTTGAATTTGAAAATTAAGGATTTTTATCACTTAGGATTGGTCAGATTGAAGGTCACAAGGGTAAAAAATTTTCAAACCTTCAAAAGACTTCTTTTGATTGACTTAAAGGCATAGAATCCTGATATTTGAGTGATAGGTTCCAGGAATTAAGTCCAGCAAAGTTTATTGAAAAGAAATAGCCTTGTTCAGTAATCAAGGTCACAGGGGTCAGCATTGTTTTAAAAAACTTACTCTGATTAACAAATAAGTGTAGAATGCTTGTATTTAGCTGCAAGGTTCCTTGAAGTAAGCCTGACAAAGTTGCAAAAATGAAATTACCTTGACCATATTCACAGAATTCAAATTTTTATGTCAGAAGAAAAGAATCTATCAGTTTTGTAGTAAGATTTATAACATACCCTCTGACACTGCGCTAGAATGGTGAAATTTAGCAAAACTTTAAATAGAAAATTTGTTCAACTTTTGTCAAACTTTTCTACCTATTTTTGTTTTTTAACATCTATTTTTGTATGAGAGTATCAGTAGAATTTTAATGGAATCCTTTCACTTACAGAACTAGTTCTTAGCTCATTATGTTTGATTTGTAGTCTCACCAACTACAGCAGGAATTAGGAGGACAGAGCGGTGAATCAGCAGATGAAGATTCCAGAATTCTGACAGTTCCACATTCCAATATTACCAAATCCTTGTCCACCCCCTCTATACCTGCAGCTGTTTCACCAGGTCTGTACAACATCACTGAGTTGTCTGCCCATGTTTTTGTACATATGGCTGTAAGATAGTGGTTTAGCCCATTTTAAGAATGTACTCTTCTGAAAACTTCAAAAAAAAATTTATGATGAATATCTTACTTACTTCCAGTAAAACATTAAAAGAATACATCTATAATGAATCTTGTTTCTCTTTACAGGTGAAAGAAAAGTACACAAAGACCCTAAACAGTAAGTGATCTTTTCTCACGCTCTCATCTTCCTTTTTTCACTTTGTTCCAGTAAGTTATATCATTTTCACTATTGTTGCCCATTTTTTTTTATCTGTTTTGCAATCTAACTTTTGTAAAAATGGGAGATTTTGAAGACATTGAAACTCATCAGATATGATAAGATCTATACAGAAATTTTAACCATGTTTATGGTATTCCAGTGTAGCTTAATATTTCACATTCATTTAGTTTTACTGGAAAATATTCTTGGAGATTGATAACGAAATATTCCATTTTACATCCCTGTAGACTCTCGCTAAACCTGTCAATAGTATTAAACACCTTTCATTCTGTCCATATGGAGACTGGTGTTTAGGCTGTATTATTCTGTTACTATGGAGACTGGTGTAACAAGCTCTATCATTCTGTTACTATGGGGACTGGTGTTTAGGCTCTATCATTCTGTTACTATGGAGACTGGTGTAACAACCTCTATCATTCTGTTACTACGGTGACTGGTGTTAAGGCCCTGTCATTCTGGAGGAAATATTCTTGAAAATTGATAATAAAGTATTCTATGTTTTGTCCCGCTAGATCCTCACTCAACTGAGCATTAAACACCTACCATTCTGTTTCTTTGGTGAGTGGGGTTCAAGACTGGATTATTCTGATGGTATAGTTACTGAAGTTTCTGATGGGGACAGAACTTCCTTACTTCTATGTACATTCCTGGGGTAAATCAGAATATTAGAAAAATAGAGATAATTGATATTAATGTTATAAGTATATTTGGTATCGTTTGAGCATTTTGAGGGCACAGCATCTGTTCTTTTTAAGGCAGGCCTATACCTTCTGTTATTTTAAAAGCTGAACCCCTGTTGGGTTGAGGACAGTAGACCAATTATTTTGAGATCAGGGCTTCTGTTATTTTGAAGGAAGAGCACTTCTTATTTTGATTGCAAGGCACTTGATATTTGAGGATATTTAGGCGTCTCTTACTTTGAGGACAGGACACCAGTTATTTTGAGGAAAGGACATCTGTTGTTTGAGGGCAGGGCACCTTGGTATTTTTAATTCAGGACACATGTTATCATCAGGATACCATTTAGTTACGGTTTTCAGATTGGCATGAACTGTGTTACTCCTTCATTTTTCTGTTTTAAATATTTATTTTCTTCGGCCCAAAGGACGACAGGACCTTACTTGTAGCTCAGCATCTGTCATCTGACATGCTTTTGAATGTCAGATCTTATTTCAATTGCATTTACAATTCAGATTCATTAGTATCATTGTTATGCATTAGAAAGAATTTCGAAACCATTGTTCCCGAAATTAAAGAAAACCAAGCATTTCATATGTTTAGAAGCTTAGTCCTAAATGCAGAGGAATTAGATTTGATTTGATTTCACACAGAAATTTTTAAGGCATTCATCATAGGATGTGATCTCCTTTCCATTTATCCTCCTTTCTTCCACCTTGAAAGACAGAGGGTAAGAATTCAAAGGGACTAGAGGATAAACTTTAAAAAAAAAAATACTCTAGAGATACATGTTACAGCACTTTTTACCTTACGTGGTTTAAAAATTACCTGAATGTGGAAACCCAAAATCTGAAATTATTTGTTTTATGTCAATAAAAAGTTTGTTGTCGCATTGGCAGAAATGCTACAACATTCTTTAGATTAGTTTACAAAAGAAACAGATGAGGGATATTGACATCTGAAATCTTTTAAATTCAGTTGTTCTGTATATTCACTCTACAGTTTTCTTTGATGTATATGCATTTTTCGGTGATCCGATATAAACTTGTATGTTTTCATTTTAATGCACAGAAGAGCAAAGCTTTATCGGTATGTTTTAAACACAGTATAGTCAGGCTGTAGGTATATATGTATATATATATGTAAATGTATTTTATTTTGCCTTGAGCAGTTGGAGGTTTTAAAAAACGGTCTAGGATGAGAGCATTGTCTGTAGATTTCTTTTTCTGTTCCTTATATGTGACTATTGTCATCAGTACAACATTACTTAGATACAATATCATTTATGGAATAATGAAAACACAATCAGTTTTGCATGAGGTATCTGGTTTTATTTTTACTAGAATTTTTTATTTTTTGTCTTTTCTTTTTCCATATCTACCTCTGACCCTCCAATAAAGAAAAGAATTGCGAAAGTTTAATCGGTACACACCTTTTGTTTTTATTGCGGTCATTGTGTAACAGTTTGTTGTTGTTTTACACAGAATGTTGCTATCGAATGACGCCCAGATTCCCTGAATAATGTCTGTGATATTTTGTTGGTTTTTGTCTGACTGTGGGGTTATTTTCAGAAACGATGTTCCAACTTATCTCCTCATACAAAAACTCATTGAAGAACATGAGTGAGTTGAGTTTTGATGTGTGCATGTGTTTTTTGTATTTACTTACAATACTCATCTTATCGCAATGTTTAACTAAATTCCATTGAAGGAGGAATGCCATTCTGATGGTTCAAGGGAGATAGTTCCCACTAAAAACAATGCCATAAGATTTGTTGTCTATAATAGTCGTTGCTGCTTAGGGTACAGATACAGATTACTGATAGCTATTTTTAATTCTATAAGGAGTACAAATTCTTTTGAAATTATTTGTTTTGGAACAATTACATAGTTTAATCTGTATCTCCAAAGAGTTTGTAAGCAGCTGCATGTTGCATGTGCAGGTGACCTTATTAAAGCTTGATTTGGACATGTTCTGGTGTGAATCGCATGTTAACTAATGCATGTTTGTTTGCATGATGTGTGTTGTCCCTATTATATGTAATGGAATCCCTGTCCTGAAATGCTTGTCACTGATCACAAACCAAACACCTCTATCTAAATCATCAAAATGTTTGCATTTTACTGTCATCACCAAATGATATTAGGACGAATGCCAAGTTGTGGTAATGCTACTCATCTGTTCAGATCACCTTTGAACATATCACTTGTCCTCTTTTGAATTTTCTAAATTAAATTTTTTCTTACTGAAAATCGAACAGAAAAAAAAATCAAAAGATAATGTCAGAATCGATAACATATTTGTTTAAGGTCCTTATTTTTTTCTGTATTTTATATTGTCTATAATCTTTTTCCTCAGAAAAGGAAATGTACTGCCTCTTAAATATGGATAATTCTTCTGCTACAAATTAATATGAATTACAAATCGGTTCAATTTCTGAAGCTTTAGACATGATGGTTTTGTTTTCTGTTGTCTGGTCTGCTGTTACTCTTGTAAAGTCTGTATGAAAATTTTTTACACTTCAATCTTTGCATATATTGGTGTTCAAAATCAAAATCCTTATTTAGTTAAGCCACTTCTAGATAGAATATGTTTTTATAAAAAAAGGTTAAATCAGTGCTAAAGATAAATAAAATATTTCTCAACTACATATTCGGTAATCAATGTTTTACAAGGAGCATGACATATATTACTAATACTTGGTATAGCTAGTGCCTTTGCTGCCTCTGTTATCTCAAGCTCTTGGGGACAATCAGTTTTTATTTCTTTTCCCACAGACTAAATAAAAATGTGTGGAGAACTATTTACTTGGTGAAGCAACAGAACACCTTTTCTCTATAGATTTGAAAAATCTCATCAGACACTCTTGTTCTTCCAAGTATGATATATTTGAATCATTCTTTTAGCGCACAATTTCGTCGTCAAGATGAAATAGAGGAAGATGATGATGAGAATACAAATCGCCTTCTTGGACAGAGTGACAGTCGGAGGCGGTCTCAAGTGTCACTCATTGACTTTCTGGCTGAGTAAGTCGGGGACTTGTGTGTGAGGTGGAGCATGGATGTGGGGAGGGCATGAAGTGGTTTAAGAGATGGGGAGTTGTGGGAGCAGATGTTTGCAGTGAAATTAAATGTGTCTCCAGAAGCAAGTTATCTTTCTTGTATAGGAGAAGTATAGTAAGCAGTGTAGCAAGGGAAGTAACTCAGTTTGCATTATACAGTAATACCTTATTATATATGTGTCAGTTTTTACTAAAAAATAATTGTTTCAGTATTGTTCAGAAGTTTGTTGTATGAAGTTGTCTAGAGATGTTTTCCATGTCTGTGTTATCACAGAGTTCTTAACACAAACTCTATATAATATTGTATTAGTGTATACTGCTTCTGCTTGATAACTTAATTCCTGTCTGTGCGTGCTGGTAGCTGGGACAGTGTAGATACTCATAATTACCCCATATATCTACCATAACTTACACTTTCTACTGCTGTTGATAGAATTCCAGTACTGCCATTTAACTGATATCACTGTTGTTATTCACAAAACGTTTATATATATTTGTTTTTTATTCTCCTTGGTTTTTTTAAAATATAATATGACATGTTTATGCTTTTTACTAATATAATTGTTTACAATACAAACAAGTGTGTTAAAAAAAACTTAGATTATAATCTAATTGTTGTTAATCATTAAGATCTTTAGATTCAGCAAAGTTGTCATCCAAGTCCAGACCTTTTCACATCATTTTCCTTATTTGTTTATTACTGAAACAGGAGTGTAAGTTTTGTACACAAATAAATGACCCACTTCATACAAGTAATTATACACAGTGTTTTGTGTATCACATATTTATGAAATCTTTTTATACCTCTAATTCATGAATTCAGCTTTGGTTGTTAGTAACACTGTACAAGGTTCATCATTCAAGGATTTACAAAAAGATATGTCATTGTCTAGTTCCAGTAGTATCCCTTAATTTGTATTACATGTGTCATTCTCTTAAGAAATAGCAGTGTTATAAGAAGAGAAAGAAATCTGAGATATTGTTCTAATTATTAGAAATCTTTTCAAAAAGCTCTGAAACTTAAGATAAATGATGCTGGATACTTCTTGTAGACAAATGTTTAAAATGTTCTGTTACAAGGGAAGACGTTGCCATTTTCTCACAAGAACATGGGGAGTAACAATTTTATAAACTTTATATTGACGCACAGTTTTATATATTTTAGTCTAATTCAATAAAGTTTTCCAAAGACTAGATAAATTCTGATTCTCAAATTAGTTTTACTTGAACTTAAACATATTTTATCTCTTCGCATTGCTAACTTCAGCAGCATCTGGCAGCGATTGCTTACGATGAAAAATATCTTCATCTTCAGAATAGATTGAACTAACAATTATATAAGATTATCTTTATGAAAACTACCAATTTTTTATGCAAGAAAATCCTCCCTGTCCCCCTTATTACGTCTTAATTTTCCAAGATAATATCTTTTCCTCGCTCAATCAGGTGCTTGATCACGGCATGTGTTTATGTACAAGAGTCTGGTTGAGCGAGACTACTGATTTTTCGAATGAGTAGGATCAATTAGGGGTAAATCTAGAGGGATTCAGAAGCATGTCATCTTGAATGAAAAATGCCAGTTATTTGATAACCTGACGGGTCAAACGGCCGAGTCACTTACTGAAGCCTAAATATCAGATCGATCCAGTAAAATCAAGTGAGTTGGCAATACTGACAAATATGTATACCGGGGTACTTTTTTTTTGATCTGCCACTACCGGTATTTGTTAGGTTTTGGCACACACTTTTAGATGACAAGCAATAGTGATTACTTGAATGAAAATGCTCACTTTTTTGTGTAGTTCTTCAAATCTAGAGGATTCATCCAAGTCCAGGAAAGAAGAAAAGAAACGAAAGCCTAGTGTCTTCTCTCGTCTTCAAAACAGTTACAGGACAAAAAAGGTAAGTCCTTTATGATATGACAATGGTAAGATACATTGAAGAGGAACTGGATATGTATGGATGCAGCAACACTTTTATATGTTTTTGTCGCTTCGAAGGTAATTAAACATGATCGTTGATGTATGTGTTTACACATAAAACTTTTAAAAATCACATCAACTGAGCACTGTGAAAACCTCAAAACATCATGTTTCTACATGATGTACTACTACGTCTACCAAACCATACAGTTTCTGTATTGCTGCCCCTGGTATATCACACACCTCCTATTTTCTCTAGGAAGGTAGAAAAGTGTGAGTGAGTTTAGAGAGATCTGGAGAAAACCCACATTGCTCTGCTTGGGAATAGGACTGCAGAGCAGCACGGCTGGTAAATAGTTGTATGTAATAAAATAGCGAGTTCTAATTAGCTCATTGGAGGTAGAATACAGAAGTTCGATTGGTTAATGAGGACATTGAACCTTGTATATGGCGAGGTAAGACATGTCCTTTGTTACATCAGGTATACAACACTTGACATGGCAATATGTGCTCATCACGTTCAGTTCAGATTCTACACGATTTGCTTCCAAATGCCTATGACTATAGCTATTAACCTGTTACAATACCTGGTTCTCATGATCCAAACTGAATAGATGCTTTCATGGTAATTAATTTTACTATCAACAAGCTGCTGTGGTAAGTGTTATAGAGTAGTATGTACTGGATCAGCTGTTTCACACCCTTCCCATCCTCCATTGCCATAGTTACTTGACTATACACCTACATGTTGTCATGGTTACCAGACTCACAACTGTGTTTTGATCTTTCATGTAAACATTGGGTCATTCAGGTTTCCACAGAGGTTAAATGTTCATGTCTTGTAAACATTGTGTCATTCAGGTTCTTAAGAGGTCAAATATTCATATCTTGTAAACATTGGGTTATTCAGGTTCTTAAGAGGTTAAATGTTCATATCTTGTAAACATTGGGTCATTCAGGTTCTTAAGAGGTCAAATATTCATATCTTGTAAACATTGGGTCATTCAAGTTTCCTCAGAGATGAAATGTTTATGTCCTGTAAACATTGGGTCATTTAAGTTTCCTCAGAGATGAAATGTTTATGTCCTGTAAACATTGGGTCATTCAAGTTTCCTCAGAGATGAAATGTTTATGTCCTGTAAACATTCGGTCATTCAAGTTTCCTCAGAGATGAAATGTTTATGTCCTGTAAACATTAGTTGATATCAAGTACAATGCTTACTTGTACTATGATCATTACTTTATGTTGACAAGTTAAATGTGAGAGAGTAAAGTTAATGAAGAGAAAGTTATTGTTACCCTTTTACATGACTAATTTTTTCGAGGTGAACTATGTTAACTGAGATATCATTTCCTGTTCTAGATGCACTTGTCTCATGTTAGGCAGTATTAGTCAGCGTCATCTTAGGGAATAAGTAATAATGACAATACAGTTTTCAATAATCCAGACACTTTCATTCCTGGCCAAAATTGTCCAGATTATGAGTTTTCTTGACCGCTGAGTTAATTCAATGAGACAATATAACCGGAGTTTTCTCCCTTGATTATTTCACAATAAAGTGTCATCAATTTGATGCTGTAGTATATACTGTGGATACAGATATTAATAAATGTCTTTCATTGTCTAAGTAACATTAATAATTAGATATGAATTAGAATTTCTAAAGTGAAAGTGATGATTGTTTTTCATTAAGGTCCGATATTGTGAATGATTCATTAAATGTCTGTGCTGTATCAATAGTGATGTTTAACTTACTTTTTTTTACTGGCTGTAGCCCAAGCTTTCTGAATATGATATGCACTGCTTACAATGTATTTAAATATGTTTTTACACAATATAGATGCTATTTCCCCAATAAATAATTTTGTCAGTAACTATGTATTTTTATTATCAAGGGAGTTAAATTGACTGTATGATGATCACATACCTATATAGTATTATACTGGAGTCTGTTAAATTGATATCAAGATGAGCACATACTTATATAGTATTATCAAGGAAGTATGTTTAATTGACTGTAAGATGATCACATACCTACATATGACAGTAGATATTTAATATATACCTGCTTGTTGGAGACTCTTTGATTTGAAAGCAATGAAACACTGTATCTATCCATGCGGTTATTCAAAAACTAAAAATACACAACTTTTCGTAAGCATCAACTGAAATCTCTGTAGTGTTAAATAGATATGAAAAAGTGATGAGGGACAATGTCTCAATCGTTTTAAGTCTTATCAAATTTGTGTTTCTTTGATTGATATCAAGGTTTAATAATATTTTCTTTATTTTATTTCATAAATGATTCTCATAACTATCAATTTCATACATAATACTTACAGAACACCAACACATCACTCTGTATAGAGCCTTTCATGTATAAATATATTGAATGATTCAGAATTAACTGCCGAAAGGTTTGAAAACAAAACCATTCCAAGACTTTGATATTTTTTTAATCTCTGTTGTATCAGAGAGGAGACTGTCAGTACAAAGGGAAATATCTGTTGTAGAGGACAGGGGTCTGTTGGCATGAGGGCGAATCTCTGTTGTATCAGAGAGGAGACTGTCAGTACAAAGGGAAATATCTGTTGTAGAGGACAGGGGTCTGTTGGCATGAGGGCAAATCTCTGTTGTATCAGAGAGGAGACTGTCAGTACAAAGGGAAATATCTGTTGTAGAGGACAAGGGTCTGTTGGCATGAGGGCGAATCTCTGTTGTATCAGAGAGGAGACTGTCAGTACAAAGGGAAATATCTGTTGTAGAGGACAGGAGTCTGTTGGCATGAGGGCGAATCTCTGTTGTATCAGAGAGGAGACTGTCAGTACAAAGGGAAATATCTGTTGTAGAGGACAGGAGTCTGTTGGAGAGGAGACATGAGGGACAGGAGTCTGAATCTCTGTTGTATCAGGGAGACTGTCAGTACAAAGGGAAATATCTGTTGTAGAGGACAGGAGTCTGTTGGCATGAGGGGGAATCTCTGTTGTATCAGAGAGGAGACTGTCAGTACAAAGGGAAATATCTGTTGTAGAGGACAGGAGTCTGTTGGCATGAGGGCGAATCTCTGTTGTATCAGAGAGGAGACTGTCAGTACAAAGGGAAATATCTGTTGTAGAGGACAGGAGTCTGTTGGCATGAGGGCGAATCTCTGTTGTATCAGAGAGGAGACTGTCAGTACAAAGGGAAATATCTGTTGTAGAGGACAGGGTCTGTTGGCAAGGGCGAATCTCTGTTGTATCAGAGAGGAGACTGTCAGTACAAAGGGAAATATCTGTTGTAGAGGACAGGTGTCTGTTGGCATGAGGGCGAATCTCTGTTGTATCAGAGAGGAGACTGTCAGTACAAAGGGAAATATCTGTTGTAGAGGACAGGAGTCTGTTGGCATGAGGGCAAATCTCTGTTGTATCAGAGAGGAGACTGTCAGTACAAAGGGAAATATCTGTTGTAGAGGAAAGGGGTCTGTTGGCATGAGGGCGAATCTCTGTTGTATCAGAGAGGAGACTGTCAGTACAAAGGGAAATATCTGTTGTAGAGGACAGGAGTCTGTTGGCATGAGGGCGAATCTCTGTTGTATCAGAGAGGAGACTGTCAGTCAGAAGAGAGGACAGACTGTTGGCATGTCTCTGTTGTATCAAGAGGGAAATATCGTACAAAGGGAAATATCTGTTGTAGAGGACAGGAGTCTGTTGGCATGAGGGCGAATCTCTGTTGTATCAGAGAGGAGACTGTCAGTACAAAGGGAAATATCTGTTGTAGAGGACAGGAGTCTGTTGGCATGAGGGCGAATCTCTGTTGTATCAGAGAGGAGACTGTCAGTACAAAGGGAAATATCTGTTGTAGAGGACAGGAGTCTGTTGGCATGAGGGCGAATCTCTGTTGTATCAGAGAGGAGACTGTCAGTACAAAGGGAAATATCTGTTGTAGAGGACAGGAGTCTGTTGGCATGAGGGCGAATCTCTGTTGTATCAGAGAGGAGACTGTCAGTACAAAGGGAAATATCTGTTGTAGAGGACAGGAGTCTGTTGGCATGAGGGCGAATCTCTGTTGTATCAGAGAGGAGACTGTCAGTACAAAGGGAAATATCTGTTGTAGAGGACAGGAGTCTGTTGGCATGAGGGCAAATCTCTGTTGTATCAGAGAGGAGACTGTCAGTACAAAGGGAAAGTACAAAGGGAAATATCTGTTGTAGAGGACAGGGGTCTGTTGGCATGAGGGCGAATCTCTGTTGTATCGCAGAGGAGACTGTCAGTATGAAGGGAAATATCTGTTGTAGAGGACAGGAGTCTGTTGGCATGAGGGCAAATCTCTGTTGTATCAGAGAGGAGACTGTCAGTATGAAGGGAAATATCTGTTGTAGAGGACAGGAGTCTGTTGGCATGAGGGCGAATCTCTGTTGTATCAGAGAGGAGACTGTCAGTACAAAGGGAAATATCTGTTGTAGAGGACAGGAGTCTGTTGGCATGAGGGCGAATCTCTGTTGTAAAAGAGAGGAGACTGTCAGTAGTGTGTTGAAATTATCTGTTGTAGAGACTCTTGAAAATTTTTTCCTGAAACAGAGTTTGTGAAACATTTTAAAATGTAGATCATGTCAAATGAGGATATTTACACCAGTGACACATACAGTGAAACCTCGCTATTAAGACCACTTTGGGGACTGGACAAAAGTGGTCTTAATAGCGAGGTGGTCTTAATAGTGAGGTGGATCAGATTGACCACAAAGAACCGTAACTCTGTTTAAAATAAAGAGTATATATGTCATTAAGTAATGTACATGTATATTATTCAACAATAATAACTAATAATAATAAACTAAAATGTTGAATTTTATGAAATGCACGTAAAAAAACAAAATTGCTGAATTGACAGAAGAATAATTATGTATATATTCCTTAGTTTATATCATAATATACATGTATATTTACTATTGTAAACATTGAATAAAAGGAAACAAACAATCCATTTTAAGTTCAATTGGAATT